TGCTATCCATCGATTTTTGCAACGACCCGTTACTAAAGTGGTTAGTATACCCGAACAGATTTTTACAAAAAATGTGCAACAAATAAGATAAATTCTGTCATTGAAATTTGCTTAAAAAACTAGCGCGCATGGCAATACGTATTATATTTTATCATCATAGAATAAAATACTGGGGTACATAAGATGCCATAGGTTAAATAATCCTCAAATTACACAAAGAAAAACATGGAATGTTTTATGATACATTTGATATTTATCAGATCAAGCGACAATGTGCACACTATCTCAGCTCAGAAATGCACAGTTCCTCATGGTGAATTTAAACCAATTGCAAGACATTTCTTTCTTGAACAACCGTTTTTAACTAAATTTTAGGTATCTAAGATTCGGTATTGAGATGGTAGGATGTGAATCCCATCTTGTGTTTGTGATGTCGCTCTCTCCATTATAGCAGTTAGTCGATTCTCTCGGTGTGCTACATAGTCAAAAGCTACTCTGTTGCCTACATCTAGCTATCCCAATTGAGAACCTGCCAAATGAATCTCGCATATCCAAAAAATCGATATTACCACTCTTGACCTAGCATGTGTTCCAGACACGGGATATGCGACGTATAATTGCACTTGAGGGCTTTCTCCCATCGATTTGATGTCAGCTGCGCCGCTTAGCTTGCATCACTGACTGTGTTTACAATGGGGGTTACTGTGACTTTAATTTCCTCTAGTTAAATCAGTAGTAAATAAATACCGTATAATTGTGCATAATTTTGGTGTACTGATAGTATCTGCATCTCATAAAAATATCCGAAAAAGTGGAGCCCGTGGTGCACATAGACTTCTAGCAATGGTAAGACTGTTGTGAGCACTAGATGAAAATATGCAAAGTAAATACATTGAAAGCTTTGAGTTCGCTTTGCTACCACCAAGCCTGTTTAGAATACTCTACCAAATATTCTACTGACTTCCTTACTGGTCTTATGTGCCTTCTATGCGTCTGTGGATCAGATACTTCATTTTACTTTGGCTGGCGTACAAAACCACAACTACCTGACAAGACTGGCTATACTGCTTTAACAGCCGCATGATAGAAAGTAAAGAAAGTTCTGTGATAAAGAATAAACTTATTTATTTAGCCTTGGCCTAGGTAGCATCTATTTGAAACATGTGTTCTATTAGAATCGTAGAGATAAGTTCCTAGTTATAAAATAGTCTGTTGATTCCGCTCCTGGTCCGAGTGCACAAATCCAACCTCTGTACGTTTGTGAACGCAGACTTTAAGAGTCTAGCAGCCACGTTGTACTTAATAGCACTTGGAAACACTTGGTAGCACTTGCAGTCTTCCCACGACCGACTTGTGAATGAATCGTCTGAGATATATGAGCACAAAGCGCTCGAGTACCTGTGGTGTCAAATTTACCGGATTAAACAAACCCCAACCACATGACTAGGTTAAGTTTGAACTGGACCGAAACAACCAACTATTGCGAGTTTAGTGTCATCGTGCAAATATACATACAGACTGATTGCCGCTTTTCCGCGATCGTGGCATCTTCCTTTGTCCTCACTGCTGAAACACACCAGCAACGCAGACAGGAGGCTTTAAAAACGTGTAACCGCAAGCAAAAATCGAGTAGTTCAGCATGGTTGACTGGATGTGCACGTGCAGAGCGACATTGCCACGATATGATCACATCCGCGACCTCGAGGCACGCCGCTCGCCCACAACGGGTGGCTGCTGTGGCAATTGCGCGTGCCGAAGAAGATTGAACGGGGCACCACAAATGAGTGAGAGCTACGTCGGTCGCTTGAAGAAGCAGCCCAAGACAGCTTAATTGTTGTGACACTCAAGTGATTTGTTGCAAGACAGTCGCCCGAAGCCCAAGCAGAGCAAAATAGATTCGGCCGCAGCGACGATCCTCAACAACTTGATTTCTTTTCCATATGTTAGCATGAGTACTCTTAGCGGCTCGATCAAGTCCAGGATCAAAAACAGTGCGGTGTTTGCAAGCATCTCAACCACAACTCGGGACCTCCGGTGACTTGAGAAGCGCCTAATCCATCTGACGGCAAAGAACATTAGTCTGCTTGCTCGCGACAAAGATGATAATCCAGACGCAACAAGTTCATCGCAGTCAAGATTTTTTTTGGTCAGCAATCGGATATTTATCGCATCGGTCGGATATCCGTCATGCATCCAGGGAGCAAATACGAGATCTCATTGAGGATCGTACAACACGGTATATTATATGGTTTCTTGCTTGGAAACTCTACTTGCATTGCAAGGTTTCTAGAACATTGAGTTCAGCCCGCTACGCTTTTTGTGAGTCGTCGATAAGTGTTTTCTCGGATCTACGTTCGACCAGGTTGAGTAATTTCAAACTTACCGAAATCGCAGGACCTGGATCGAACGCCAAAAGAAGAATATTTTGCATTTACCTTGAGCGCGCTTGCATTGAGTGCTCTATTTTTTAGAGACGGGACAGTGCTTATCTGGACGATGACTGTTGGGAATTCAACAATCTTACGAATGAAAATCAGTACGTTGCGTTTGTGATAATTAACCGAGGGGGCTGCAAACGAGAATGGGCACTTACGTGTGGTATAATGTCAAGATGCGCTTATAGCGTGATTTGATGGGCCATATGTCGCGGGTACACGCACCTCCTATCGGAATATTAAAGCCGTTCAAAGTATGCTCAAGTACTTTGAACGGCTTTATCCGTCAAGGTATGGGCAAGTACTTCGAACGGCTTCAATATATCCGTAAGTTTTGTTTTCTTATCGCCAAAATTATAACCTCTAAGGTAGATACTATCTTATTGGTTGGTTTCGAAATTGGTGCTGCTGGCACCATCCATTCCGCGTCCACCTTACAGCTTTCATGAGACGTCACATCGATTATAAGGTTCAATTTCTTGAATCACGGAACTGTATAGGAATCTGAAAGTGGATGCTTGATGGTGGCGCAAAAGCGATGGATCTTGGAAAAGCTAGGGGGTAGGGATTTCTTTAATACTGAGCATCTACCCGGTACTAGCAAATGCTTCATCAATAGAAATACAAAACAAATGCGCCTTGATTGTCATCTTTGCTCACGGTTAAGAAATAAAGCTC